CGTCTCAAAAAAAAAAAAAATAAGAAGAATATTTAGGAATTACAGATGCCATATGACCCTATAGGGAGTGCACAGTCACCATCTCTTGTCTGTAATTCCTGACTCCCTCCTGAGTCAGTGTTGACTAGAAGCCCCCTTGAGATTCTGTTCTTTGCTTTCATTCCTGATCATAGGTCTCACTCTCTTTCCCAATCCACAATCATTATCCACTTCAGGGAAAGTCACATGGAGTCTCCTTTTTTTGTCGTTTGGTTGCTTGTTTGTTTCTCTGGGTTTTTTTTTTTTTTATCATGGCAAAATATACATAACATAAAATTTACTATTTGAACCATTTTTAAAGTATACAGTTCAGTGGCATTAAGTATATTCACATTGCTGTGCAACCATCATCGCTATCTAGCTCCAGAACTCTTTATTGTCTCAAACTGAAATGCTGTATCCATTACGTCATAACTCCCCATTGTGGAACCTCTTTTTCCTGAAGTTCCCTCTTCCTTGCCTGAAGATATTAAGCCTTTGTCTTCTGAAGCTCTCTAGACTGGGTGGCCTTGAAGTCTCCAGGCCTCTAGAATGATGGTCTCTAGGCTTTTCCTCTCATTCAGTACCTTCAGTAAAAGTATGGAAGGCTACTTTAGAAACAAAAACATATTTACAGGGATATTGAGCCATTATAAGTCATTATTCCTATCTTACTGGGCTAGATAGAACCTGTTATGGGTTGAATTGTATCCCTCCAAAATTTACAAATTAAAGTCCTAACCTCTAGTACCTCAGAATGTGACCTTACTTGGAAATCACTTTATGGCATATGTAACTATTAATCGTTAAGATGAAGTTATATTGGAGTAGGATGGGCCCTCTACTCCAATATGACTGCCATCTTTATAAAAAGAATACCATATTGAAGAGACAGACACAGACAGAATGAATGTCATGCAAAGATTAGAGTTATGCTGCCACGGGCCAAAGAACTACCAGAAGGTAGAAGAGAGGCCTGGAAGGGATCCTCCCTTCCTTAGCATCTTCAGAGGGAGCATGACCCTGCCAACACCTTGATTTTGGGCTTGTGGTACCCAGAACTGAGAAAATAATAAATTTCTGTGATTTCAAGTATTTTAGTGGTACTTCGTTATAGCAGCCCTAAAAAACTAATACAGACACCTACTCAACACAATAGGATTGAGAAGTTTTAAAGGGCAATGGAAGATTGGTAGAGTGTATTCATTTTCTATTGCTCTAGGTATAGGGAATTCTGGGGAAGGTCAGCTTATGTAGAGGACATAAGTTGGAGGCCATCAAAAGTTGGGGGCATGATAAGGGTCTCGGCTTCATGGAGGACTCTGAATGTCTATAAATGCCAGGACAGCTTACTGACATTTTCCTAATGAATACATTTTCCAGATCTATCCAGTGGTTCTCTTGTTTCTACAAGATGCACAATTTCTCACTTTTGGAAATAACTTTTGTTAATCCAAAGAGAAGACCTCTTGGAACCAGATAGGCACTTGAATGGAACCATTAGAGGCAGGCAAGTTTCTAAGCTGCTCAGGCTAGCATCATAAAAAAATCACTGCTTAGGGCCTAACTCACATGCTGTTCAGCTAGAGGTTGATTTTTGTCTTTTAAAAGGCAGCAGGCTTCCCTGGGCTATTGGGTGGGACCTTTGAAGATATGGCACCTGGCATTAGTTGAGACATTCAATCCATTTTCCCAGAAGAGCTAAAGGCAGGGTCACTTCCCTGTTAGCGTTGGTGTGATTTCCTCACTATACACCACAGGCTCAGGAGTCTAAGATCTTCCTTCAGCTACAAGTTGTTGCCTAAGAGTTGGGACTAAGGCCACAGAGGGCTGACCAAAAAGCTTCCTGCAACCCTGCTGATCTGCCTGACAGTTGGAAAGGCAAGAATCTTTCTCCAGGACTTGAAATTGCCTCCACCTTTTCATTAAAAATGAAATCTCATGAAATTTAGAAGTTCATAAGATTGGAATATTTATTTGCTGGATTGGCCTTTAATGGTCTCTCACTTCTCATCTGTGCTTTCCTGTGTTCCAGCCTCATGTCAGTGTGCCCATAACACAAAGACAATATCCTCTTCTCAGCAAAATACTTTGAGGCTTATAAATGACAAATTGCTGAGAAGGGAGAGAAGCTGTGCCTTGGGCACATAAATTTATTTAAAGTGTGGCAATGCTTACTTTTAAAAATCTCTTTTGTTTTTTAATTTCCCCAGTGAATCATTGCATAAGTTAGGTAACCCTAATTACAGATCAAAAGTAAGGCCCTCCCCCACAGAATAACTGGCAAGAATTTCAGCAATAATCACCTTGACCAAATAATCATCATATGTAAGCATGCCCTTGGTATTTGCAAATTTTCCAAGATCTAAAAGTGATCTAAAAGATCACTTTATGAAGCCTTATTAAATGGGGAATGATGGCAAATTTAGCATTGTCACTATATCCTGTTAAGCTTTTTGGAAGGTAGTATAAGCTTTGATGCATGACGTAAATTATTCATTTATTTATTCATTCAGTAGATATCTTTAAGAACCTACTGGGGTGATATCAGCAAGAGGGCAGAATAGACTAGGAGATCCTAGGCTTTGCTCCCTGAAAGAGAAAGTCCAACTAGCAACTATCCACAGAAAAGAACACCTTTTTGAAAACCCCAAAACATGAAAATGAGACAGATACCCCTGTGTGGACCATAAAACCAAATAAAAACCACATTAGAAGGGTAAGAGAAATAGTCTTACTCTGCATTATCTCTCCCTTCCAAGTTGGCACCGTGCCACATACAGGATTCCCCTTCCCACAGTTTCTACAGTGGGAAAAGAGAACAACCGATGGATATTCCGTTTCCCTATCATTCCAAGGCACTTTCCAGGAAGTCCATTCCTGGCCCACTTTATGGAGAACACTGAGGTAATGATATGGCTAGACCTCCTGGTGTCAAGTAGAAACAAAGAAAGGAGACGGAGTTTACAGTGACTAGCACATGGATATTGGCAGTAATTCTGTGTTCCAACCAGTAGTGGCACCCAATCAGATTTACCAGCCAATGGCACAGCCCACCCACAAAGCCAAGCTGGTCACTCCTAGAAACATGGTAGAAAGTTCAATCTGGCTTGAGTCCCTAGATGGCTAGCCTTTATGCCCAGCCTCAGAGTCTACCCTAAGACCCCACCAAGGCACAGAGATATTCACCTCCACATATTTTGGCAGAGCACGGGGACTAGATTTGCCAGACCCAGGAGTTCAAATAGTGGCTCTGCTCAGCCTCAGAGCTGATACAAAGGGCCCGCCCACAGAGGGAAATGCTCACCACTGAGCATTTCAGCAGAGCACAGAGGCAAAGGCTAGACCTGCCCAATCCAGGAGTCCAAATAGTGGTTCTGCCCAGCCTCAGAGCCCACCCCAACTTCCCTTCCAAGCAGAGAGATACCTGCCACTGCACATTTCTAATTATTTTGTTTGTTTGTTTGTTTTTAAAAATGTTTATTTTATATACAAAGAACTGTCATGGTTTTTCATGGTAGATGTCTTGGATAATACTTTAAAGGAAGATCATTCAGTCCAACTTAATGAAACCGATATCCTTCGCGTACTGACAGAAACACTGGCAGCACATATTGAGGCCGTATTTCTGGATCAGACCGTGCCTGTTTGAACAGACTCGACAAAAGCCAGAACCCTAGCCGATTTTTCACAGGTGGCTCCAGTACAGCTGCTGGTGACCCATCTTGCTCTCAGGAGTGCAACAAGGTAAAAGCCATTTCTAATTATTATAGCTTCTGGAACCATCCATCTCAAGCAGTGACTCCAGCTCTCACAGGCCAGCCTGTAGCCTTGCCCAACTGCAAAACCCTAATAAAGGAAACACTCCGCCAGGAAATACACAAAGCAACACTGCCCAATTAGAGGCGACGGCAGTGCCGCCCGCAGCTCCACCTAATTACAAGAGCCCAGCCAGTGATCTTAGCAGACAGTGAACCCTAGCCAGCAACTCAACCTGACTTCACAGCTAAAACGGCAGCCCAGCCAACTAGAGAATCCAACAGCAAGCTCTGCCCTCCCAGGATCATTAGCAACTGGCAAATCCAGAATCACAGACTATACTACATAATGAAAATTGATCTCTGTCAAAGGACACCTGTAAAGGCTGAAAAAGGTGGCTGTCTCCTCAAATGTGTGGAGATAGCAATGTAAGGACAAAAGATTATGACAAATCAGGGAAATGTGACACCACGAAAAGAAATAAACAAAGCCCCAACGATGGATCCTAAAAAAACAAAGATCTATCATAACTGGTGAAGAATTCAGAATAATCCCCTTAGGTAAATTCAGTGAACTACAAAAATATAGGATAGAAAATTAAATAAAATTTGGAAAATAATACATGAACAAAATGAGAAGTTTGACAAAGAAATAGAAATAATTTAAAAAAATAAAATAAAAATCCCAGAGATGAAGAATATGACTGAAATAAATTTCCCATAGAAAGCTTCTGTAGCAGACTCAATTAAAAAACAAAGAATCAGTGAGCTAGAATAGAGAACATTTGAAATTATTGAATCAGAACAATAAAAAATAAAAGGAATGAAAAAAGCCTACAGGAGTTATAAGCTACATCAAGAGAACAAATATTTTCATAATAAGAATTTCAGAAGGAGAAGAGAGAATGAGAGCCAGAAAGCATATTTAAAGAAATAATGGCTGAAACCATTCCAAAAATGGGAAAAGATGCTAATATTTAGGTATAGGAAAGATAGGCGTTTCCAATCAAATACAACCCCATAAAAAAGGTCACCATGACACACAAACTATCAAACTATCAAAAATCAAAAACAAAGAAAAAATTCTGACAGTAGCAAGAAATAAAAAAAAAAATCCCATACAAAAGAGTTCTAATACAGCTATCAGTGGATTTCTCAGCAGGAATCTTGCAAAGCAAGAAGGAGTGACATGACATAGTCAAAGTGCTTAAGGACAAAACCTGCCAACCAAAAATACTGTACCTGGCAAAGCTGTCCTTCAGAAATAAGGGAGAAATAAAAGCTTTCCCAGACAAACAAAAGCTAATGGACTTCATCACCAATAGGCATGCTTTATAGAAATTGCTAAGGGTTGGTTCCAAGTCTTTGCTATTGTGAACAGTGCCACAATAAACATACGTGTGTGCATCTTTATAATAGAATGATTTATAATCCTTTAGGCATATACCCATACCCAGTAATGGAATTGCTGGGTCAAATGGTATTTCTATTTCTAGATCCTTGAGGAATCACCACACTGTCTTCCACAAGGGTTGAACTAATTTACACTCCTACCAACAGTGTAAAAGTGTTCGTATTTCTCCATATCCTCTCCAGCATCTGTTGTCTCCTTATTTTTTAATGATCGCCATTCTAACAGGCATGAGGTGGTATCTCAATGTAGTTTTGATTTGCATTTCTCTAAGGACCAGTAATGATGAACCTTTTTTCATGTTTTTTGGCTGCATTAATGTCTTCTTTTGAAAAGTGTCTGTTCATATCCTTTGCCCACTTTTTGATGGGATTGTTTTTTTTTTTTCCTTGTAAATTTGTTTAAGTTCTCCATAGATTCTGGATATTAGCTATTTGTCTGATGAGTAGATTGCAAAATTTTTTTCCCATTCTGTTGGTTGCTGGTTCACTCTATTGATAGTTTCTTTTGCTGTGAAGAAGCTCTTGAGTTTGCTTAGATCCCATTTGTCTATTTTGGCTTTTGTTGCAACCCAAATGCCCATCAATGATAGACTGGATAAAGAAAATGTGACACATATATACCATAGAATACTACGCAGCCCTAAGAAAAGATGAGTTCATGTCCTTTGCAGGGACATGGATGAAACTGGAAACCATCATTCTCAGCAAACTGAGACACAAGAACAGAAAACCAAACACCACATGTTCTCACTCATAAATGGGTGATGAACAATGAGAACACACAGACACAGGGAGGGGAACATCACACACTGGGACTTAGGGGGTGGGGGGCTAGGAGAGGAATAACAGGGGGTCGGGGGATTGGGGAGGGATAGCATTAGGAGAAATACCTAATGTAGATGACGGGGCGATGGATGCAGCAAACCACTACCACGGCACGTGTATACCTATGTAACAAACCTACATGATCTGCACGTGTACCCCAGCATCTAAAGTATAATAAATAAATTTTTTAAAAAATAAATTACTAAGGGAAGTTCATTAAGCTGAAATAAAGTCCACTAATTAACAACATAAAAAATATGAAAAATGCAAAACTCAATAATATAAGTAATATGGAGTTATATTCAGAATACTGTAGAACTGTAATGGCGGTACATAAAGGAATTTAATCTCTAATATAAGGCTTAAAAAGCAAAACTATTAAAAACAACTACAGCTAAAATAAATCATCAATGGATACAAGTTACAAAAGGATGTAAATTTTGACATCAAAAACATAAAATGAGGGGGGGTAAAGGGGTAGAGTTGTTATATGAGATAAAGTTCTGATCAGCTTGAAATAGCCTATTGTAACTACAAGATAGTTTTTGTAAGCCTCAGGGTAACCACAAAGCAAAAATCTATAGTAGATACACAAAATGTATATAAAAAGGATTCAAAGAATACCACTACAGGCTGGGTGAGGTAGCTCATGCCTGTCATCTCAGCATTTTGGGAGGCCAAGGTGGGTGGATCACTGGAGGTCAGGCATTCAAGACCAGCCTGGCCAACATGGTGAAACCCCATCTCTACTAAAATACAAAAAATTAGCTGGGCATGGTGGCGTGCACCTGTAGTCCCAGCTACTCAGGCAGCTGAGGCAGGAGAATCACTTGAACCCAGGAGGTGGAGGTCAAAATCACAGTGAGCTGAGATCATGCAACTGCACTCCAGTGTGGGTGACAGAGCAAGACTATGTCTCAAAAATAAATAAATAAGCAAAGAATACCCACTACAGAAACCATCAAACAACAAAAAAACAACAGCAGTAAAGGAAAAAACAATCTACAAATCAATCAGAAAACAAATTACAAAATGGCAGTTTTGTAAGTCCTTACTTATCAATAATTACTTTGAATGCAAATGGATTAAATTCTCCAATAAAAAGATATGGCTGAATCGATTTAAAAACAAATCTCTACTATATACTGCCTTCAGGAGACTCATCTCTCTTTTAAGGATAAACATAGACTCAAAGTGAAGGAATGGAAAAAGATATTCCATGCAAATAGATCCAAAAGAGAGCAGTAGTAGCTATGCCTATGTTGCACAAAATATAGACTTTAACTCAAAAGATATACTAAGAGACAAAGTACATTGCATAATGATAAATATGTCAATTTATGAAGAGGATATAACATTTTAATAAATATGCATCCAACATTGGAGCAACTAAATATGTAAAGCAAATATTAAAAGACCTGCAGGATGAGATCAATCATAATACAGTAATAGTATGGGACTTCAATAATCCTCTTTCAGCAATAAACAGATCATCCAGACAGAAAGTTAAAAAGGAAACATTGGACTTAAACTACACTTTAGACCAAATGGACTTAACAAGCATATATAGAATATTCCATCCAAAAGCAACAGAAGACACATTCTTCTCAAGTGCACATGAAACATCATCCTCCAGGACAGAACATAAGTTATGTCACAAAGCAAGTCTTAGCAAATTTGAGAAGACTGAAATTATATCAGTAACTTTCTCCAGCCATGATGGTGTGAAACTAAAAATAAATAACAGGAAAAATCTTGAAAAATCCACAAATATACGAAAATTAAACGATATGCTTAAACAATTAATGGGCCATAGGAGAAATCAAAAGGGAAATTTTAAAATATATTTTTAAGAAGAACACTGTTCTTTGCAACAACATGGATGCAGCTGGAAGACATTATCCTAAGCAAATTAACACAGGAACAAGAAACGAAATACATGTCCTGATGTATAAGCGGGAGCTAAACATTGGGTACGCATCGATGTAAAGATAGCAACAATAGAATCTGAGGGGGTGGAGGAGAGCAAGGGCTGAAAAACTACTTATTGAGTACTATGCTCATTACATGGGTGATAGGATCATTTGTACTCCAAACCTCAGCATCATGAAGTACACTCAGGTAACAAACCTGCACGTATACCCCCTGAATCTAAAATAAAAGGTGAAAAAAAGAAAGAAAAATATTTCCAAGCCACAAATAGGATATTTCTCAAAAGTCAAGTAGGAGTGATGAATCAAAAACTAACTGTAGATTTTTCTGTATATTTTTTTCAGTCAAATATAAAGACAATGACCCATGTGGCTGTTAGAATATCCTTATTTTACCAGTGTTTTAAAACTGCTGCCTTGACTTATCACTAACAAAATTATGATTTAGAGAAAAACCCACTTTTTAGTAGTAAGAGTAAACAAATACTTTGAAATAAAATAGTCAAAGACTTCACCAAAAACTGTCATAGCTAATGAAAGTAAAGCTGCAGAATATAAAATTGACACAAAATCAGTAGTATTTCTGTACACTAATAATGAACTATCTAAAAAAGAAATCAAGAAACATTCCCATTTGCAATAGCTACAAAAAATAAATAAAATACTTAGTAATAAATTTAACCAAGGAACTGAAAAATATGTACTCTGAAACCTATAAAACATTCATAAAAGAAATTGAAAAAGACACAAATAAATGAAAATATATTTCATGTTCATGGATTGGAAGAATTAATATT